ATGAAATTAAAGAAGAAATTAGAAAATTTATACAGCTGAATGATAATGACAATGCAACATACCAGAAATTATGGAACACAAGGAGTCCTAAGAGGGAAGTTTATAGCTATAAATATCCATATCAGGAAAACATAGCAAATATATATAAACAACTTAATGATGAACCTTAAGCTTCTAGAAAAAGAAGAGCAGGTTAAGCCATAAGCTTATATGAAGGAGGGAATTATAAAGATTAGAGCAGAAATTATTTTAAAATGGATATAAAAATCAATGAATCAATGAATTAGAGTTGGTTCTTTGAAAGATTAAATAAGATTGACAAATACTTATCCAATCTTACCAAAAAAGGGAAGAAAAGACTCAAATCTTTGCAATTAGGAATGAAAAGGGTGAACTCATAAAGGACCCTACAGAAATTTAGAAGATCATCTATAGCTAATATGAAAATTTGTATTCTAATAAGACAGAATATGCAGAAGGAATGGACAGATTCCTAGAGACATGAATTACCAAAACTGAATCAAGAAGATGTAAAAACACTAAATAAACCAGTATCAATCAATGAAATCAAAGATGTAATTAAAAACTGACCAATGAATAAAGCCCAGGCCCAGAGGAGACCTAATACCACTACTTGTCAAACTCTTTAATGAAATTGAATGATAAGAAATACTCCCAAATTCATTCCTGGAAAGCATTTCCCTTATATCACAACTGGAAAAGGATTCAACTAACAAAGAGACTTACAGACCAATTTCCCTAATGAATATAGATGCAAAAATCCTCAATAAGTTAACAGCAAATCATCCAGAATGCAGCAAATCATCCAGAAGATTATACATCTTGACCAAGTGAGGTTCATCCCAGGAAAGTAGGCATGGTTCAACATATGTAAATCAATAAATGTAATACACTAGATTAACATACTCAAAGATAAAAATCATATGTTATTTCAATAGACACAGAAAAAGCTTGTGACACAATTTAGCATTCATTCAAGACTTTTTAAAAAACCCTACAAAAAATTGGAATGCAGTTTTCTTATCTCAATCTGATAAAAGCCACCTATACAAATCAACAGCCAACATATACAAAATGGGAAAAAACTGAAAACTTCCTCTTTAAAATCAGGAACAAAACAAGAATGCCCACTGTTTCCATTCTTACTCAATAGTGTCCTGGAAACTAGCCAGAGCAATGAGAGAAAAGAAATAAAGATAGGAAAGAAAGAAGGTAATTACCATTATTTTCATATGACATTTACTCTACATAGAGGACCCCAAAATCTTCACTAAAAAAACTGGTAGGTTCAGTAATTAATTCAATAGTGTAGCTGGATACAAAGACAACATCCAAAAAACAATAGCCTTCCTGTACACAAACAACAAACTCACTGAGAAAAATTAGGGAAACACCACCTTTCACCAAATATCATCAAAAAAAAAAAAAAAACCAATGAAATATCTAGCAGTCAGTCTAATGAGTGACATAAAAGACCTCTACATTGAAAATTACAGTAGTCTGAAAAAAGAGATTGAAGAGGGTATCAGAAAATGGAAAGATATTCCTTGGTCTTCAGTAGGAAGAATCAATGTATTGAAAATAGCCATACTTCCAAAACTGTTATGCAGATTTAAAGAAATTTCAATCAAAATTTCAATATTATATCTCACAGAATTAGGGAAAACGATCCTAAAGTGCATCTGGAACCAGAAGAGACCTAGAGTAGCAAAGGCAATTCTGGGCAAAAAAGGCAAGACAGGGGGCATTACAAAGGAGGCATGACTAGAAGTCCTACTATAAAGCTATTGTGATAAAACAACATGGTATTGGCAAAAAAAAAAAAAAAAAAACCAGATACAGGGATCAATGGAAGCAGAAACAACTCCAGAGATGCTCAGCCACCTTATCTTTGACAAAAGTGCCTAGCACATTTACTGGAAGAAAGATATCCTCTTTAATAAATTACATTGGAAAAATTGGCTCTGCATATGCTAGAGATTAAAACTAGACCCATAACCTTCACCATGCACTAAACTAAAATCAGAACAGATTAAAGATATAAATATTAAAACAGAAACATTAAATTTTCTGGGCTATATGTATTTGATATCATCCTAGGTCCAGCATATATTTGTCTTTTATACTAAAAAAATCTCTAATAATTACTTTATTTAGCAGCTGATAATCCTTTAAAATTTTTAAATTTATTTTTAAAGTACTTTTACTTAACAGCCTTTACAATTACATAGATTATAGGCCCAAGCTCATTAGTATGACCACTTGACTTGAGTAAGTATTCGTATTATAGGTAATAAGAACCACCTTCTGTGTATACTGTAAAATAGGATTAAAAGATATTTTGTTGCCAACATTGAAAAATAGAAACCAGGGTCATTGAGCCTAGACTTTCACAAGCAACCGAATTCCTTGGAAGCTGCTTCAGTTCTTCAATTTGTAAGACAGGTCATAGTTACTTCAGAGCCGAATGAAAGTCAGCACAACTGAGGAACAGAAAGTGAGGAGAACCAGCTATCAGATGAGGCCACAGCAGCAGGAGAGCACCACACTAGATCTACCACCTGAAACCACGGGACAAGTTTCATTATAAGAATACTGAAGAGCCACCAAGAGGTGACAGATTAGATTTGTTATTTTTAAAAGGTCTCTTTGGTGATTGGGTAGAAAACAGAAATTAAAAAAGTAAAAAAAAAAACCCAGAAAAACTAGAAAATTAAGGGAGAAAATGGGAATAATTGATACTAAGTTTATTGAGATTAGTTTTTAGTAGAGTGAAATTTTTCCAGATGTTTTAATGCCTTTAGGTGATTCTATGTCTTGGTCAAATAATTGCCTCATAGTTTTAGGGGCAATGTTAAACACTGCAATGCATAACATGCCATTTATTTGGGCAGAATAAACCCTCAATGTTACACTCTTACTTGTCTTCTATTATTAACTACTATGTGTAACTCCACACCAATAAATTATAAACAAGTATATAATATGAATGATCTTATGGAAAAATAAAAATTGATTATTTGAGTCTTTCGGGTGGCTATGACAAAATACCTGAGACTGGACATGTTATAAGAAAAGAAATTTATTTTTCACAGCTTTGGAGTCCACAAAAGCCAAGATCAAAAGTCTAGCAGCCACAACCTGAGAGTTAGGTGTAGGCCTTCCCAGTACAGGTTCATATGAAACAAAGTGGAGGGTAAAAGGGACCAAACTCTCTAGTCTCTTTTACAGTTGTTTTAATTCACTGATGAAAAAGCTCTGGGTACCTAAACAGTTTCCAAAAGGCACTATTATGTTATGAATTCTTATGTTGAAGATCAAGTTTATGGCATATGAGCTGGGAGGGGCAGATTTAGACTACTACACAGATTATATCTAAATATACTTTCATTTGAAATAGAAAACACAACTTAAGGCCTGAACATTGGAAATGCTTGGTCTATACGATTGAATAGGGGTGCAGAATTAGACAACAAGGTATGACAGGGAGCAGGGTCCAAATCACATTTGGCTTTAGAAGCCATTTGTAAGGATTTTAGCTTCCATTACAAACAAAATGGGGAACATTTTTTAAGAGTTCTGCAAAGAGTGTTATGGTCAGTCTAACATTCATGTTAAAACTGGGTGACATCTTAAAAGTAGGTGGACTGTAAAGGACAAACACGGAGAAACAGGCCAGTAAGAGAATTCAGTAATAATCCAAAAGAGATTGATCCTGGTTCATCCAAGGTGGCAGGAGCAATCAAGGTGGGAACTGACTGGATAGTAGCTCTATTCTGAAAGGTTTTCTGTTGCAGAAGGAAGAGTTTCAAGAATGACTTCCAGAGTTTTGGCCTGAGTGAATGGAAGGATGGAGCAGCTATCAATGGTGATTCAGAAACTAAATTAGACATAAAATCAATTTCTTGGCCACGAACATGATAGGGAACTCTGCAGGGCCTTCTTATGGAAGTGTCAGGAAACAGTTGGGTATGAGCTGGAGTTGGGGGATAGGTCTGAGCTGGAAATGTAAATGCAGCAGTTATTAGCATATTAATAGTATTTAAAACTTTAGATGTGAGTGCAAAACTGTGAGGATAGAGTCTGAGGCACTCTAGGATTAAGGTGGAGAAGGAGATGAACAATCACAAAGAAAACTGAGGAGGAATAGCAAACAGATGAGGGGGAAAAAGTACGATATCCTGCAGCTTTACATTCTCCTCTAATTTCTACTCATATTTTAGGTACCTCAATCTTTATATCTTTTCCCTTAGAGTTGGTGAAGAGTCTTTTCTAGGCATCCCACAAAATTATGCTCTTTCTACTCTCTTAATACCTAGACTTATCTTCCTGTAAATTCTAAATGTCTTAAGAGAAGGAATTAAGCTTTTCTTACTCAGAGAACAAAACTTTCAAAATTATCTTAGTGTTTAGCACATAATAACTGCACAAGTTGGGGAACTGACAGTAACATCAGCACTTATCTTTGACTATCGATGGTGATACTAGTGTGATAGAGAGTGTACTATGGTTACCTAGGCAACAATACAACACCTACATTTATTTCATTAATTTGTTTTCCATTACATGTATTTTTCTTCATATTTGTTTTTCAACAAGGGTTTTCCTAGCTTTAATAGTTGGTGCATCTCACAATTTTGATTTAGGTATAGGGGAAAGAAGGAGAAATAACAAATATACCTTTCATATGTTACCTTAAGTATCTTCTTCACAAACTTGGGAAGAAAAATATAACTTGTTCCATTTTATAAGCAGAAACCGAGCTTTTGAAACAATAAACAACTTTTCTAAGGTCATACAGATAGTAACAGGACTTAAATATCCGTAAAGCACTTGTGTGTGATGTGTGTATCAATGAAGGCTTTGTAAGACATGGTATATGAGTGTGAGACATCAGTATGTTTATATATGCATATAACACTCCTAAAGCAAAATAAAACAAAAATGTAATTATTTTTAAAAAATATGATGTTACTCACAGGAAAGTACAATAGAAGAGATCCAAAAAGAATTGTTTCCAGCAGGATCAGCCCTGATGCCCTGATGCTCTAAAAAACAAAATGAAAAACATCAGTGTTAACTTACATTCCTAAGCATAGAAGAATTCATGCTCTTACGAAAAATGTCTCAACCATTAGAAAAGTGTTTTTTAGGAGAAATTAAATGAATAAACAGCTGCTGGGTAGGGTTCAGGTGAGTAAACAACTGAAACATGCTCAGTCTAGCTATAATAGTGGTAAGACTTCATCTTATTGCCAGGAATCATGGGATCTTAGTCTCTAAAATTTTGAATCAGGTATAGTTTGGGCATCTGAGAATACTGCCTTGAAGATTCTTTAAACTGAGAAATTCACATATGTAGAACATCTCATCTGTATTTTTAGAACATCAACTATAAGTAGATATTGAATGCTAACCCTAACCTATTTCAAAAATACTCTTAGGAGAGATTTTGTGGATAAAACAAGCACATACATAAGGCCTTTGAGTCTCAATGATACATCTTCTACCATGCTAAAATACATAAGTAATTTCCCATTCATTAGTAGAGCTTCACATGTATGAATTTCATTAAATAACACAGTATCTCACCTTGTGAAAATGCTTCAGTGTTATTCATCAGTCAAAATTCAAAAGATTAAATTGATTTTCAAAAACTTTCCTGAATATTTAGTGTGCTAAGTGTAAATGTATTTAAAGCCCTTAAGATATTCCAATGACACTCAAATACCATTTTCCTATGACAAAATGTGGAGTTAAAGCAAGAAATAAACAACAAAAAAACTTATCTTTTGGTTCAATGAAGTATTAATATAATGTAAATATATTAAGAATATAAACATGGGGGCTGGGGATTTAGCTCAGCGGCATAAGCGCCTGCCTTGCAAGCAGGCAGTCGTGAGTTCGATCCCTGGTACCGGTAAAAACGAAAAAGACAAAAAAAAAAAAAAAAAAAAAAGAATATAAACATGAAACAGGTCATTCCAGGGTCTCTGCTTTTATTAAATACAACATAAAATCATACACAAATTGCACCTAGTAAAATACATTACTTAACATAAAATTGTTTGTAGTAATAAGAGTTTTGCAATAACAAAAGGATGCTACAAAACCAAATCACAGGAATACATTATATTAAAAATAAACATTACTGAATAGTCAGAGATAGCTCAAATTTCCCTTCTAAAACCCTCCTAGAATATTAAACACATAGAAACACATTATGTATAACCATGCAAAAGAACCCAGGGTTTCTTATAGTAAGAATTTGGGAATGAAAAGTAAGTTTAGTTAGTGAACAGACTGGATTGAGTGCCTGGTTAATATTGGCCATTATTTAAGCTAACAGATGTTTCCATGAAAAGAAAATTTTTATCAGCATGTGTTTAAATGCTTATTGGCTGGTAGAATTTCAAAAATTGTAAAATGTATTGGCAAAGCATATCTAATTATAAACACTGTATAGTTTATCTTTTAAATTTTCCATAAAAAAGACACTAAAACTGAGGACCTAATACATTAAACAAAATTTCATATAAAATAATCTGTACCATATTGACTGAGAAAAAGGACATGAAAAGGAAACAAAGTACTGCGGAAGAGAGACTTTGAAATTAGCTCCATCTCAGTGTGAATTATGAAACAATTTGTGTTAAATGACATTGCACATTGATAGTTTCACCCATAAAATGATCATCTTCACAGTTGTCTTATTAAATCTTTCAGGTTTGCTCAACATGAAGTATTTAAAACACTGAGTACTGTGCCTAATACTCAGTAAGTATGCAGTTTTTAAAACAGAACCAGGATCATAAATTGAAAGCTACAAGAGTATATACAGATGGAAGTGAAACTAAGTTTTATTCTTGAGATCCAAAAGAAGACAGAGGCCTGAGGCCAGCACACCCAGGAGTTCTTTCCTTGGACAGTACACAGGCTGTTTTGTAGCTTCTTTGGTCTTGGAACACCTTTCGATGGTTTCAGGGCAATAGGCTCTATGGCTGTGCAGTAACTCCTACTGTCACATAACGGCAGCAACAGTAAAGTGAGATTTTATACATTTGTTAAAAATTGTCCACTTTTCACCTGGAAATGCTGTGAGCTCTCCTTAACATTTGCTTAGCCTTGCTCCAGGCTGAACCAAAGAGCTCATGCTTCCATTTCTTAAATTGGAACCCCAGGATATAACTGCCCATAGAACGCTAACACAGTGGAAGTAAAAAGGAGGTAAGAATGTGGACTGCTGAATTTTTAAAAATAATTAGAATCACTTTTTACTAGTTTCCTGATTCTACAGAGACTATTTCACTTATAATTTTTAAACATTATAAAGCTTTGGGGAAATAAAGATACATCTTGCTAAAACAATGCAATTGTTTTTGATCATTTCCAATTTCTTCATCCTTGCAGTATTTAACATTCTTGATTATTAAAGAAATCTCTGAGCATGAAGACACTTAAGGCAGATGGACCTCAGAACCTACGATAAAAGTCTGACACAGAAACAGGATTATGTTCTGAAAGGGTTGAACTAGGTGCAGATGATGAACCCAGATTCTATGGATCTTTATCATCTCTAAAGATTAGCACAGTTACCAGGGGACCAGACTCATGAGGTATACTTTTCTTTTATTTCTGTTTTTATATAGAAATCAATGAACAAAGAAACTTCCTATGAAATCTGACAAATATATGGCATAGCTATACAACAAAGATTGAAAACAATATGTAAAACATTAAGCTAAAAATATTCTTAACATTGAGAAGTATAGGGACACCATATTTTGACAATTTAAAGGAATGAAAACAGTCTACACATACATTGAAAGTCTGTGTGTAGTTCATTTATCATGAGACCTGCAACGTAACACTGAAAATTCCATTGGGGTTAAAGAAATTTGTCAAAAACAATTACACAAAATGCAGTTAGTTAAGTCAATTTTAGTTTTTCAAGAGAATTCTTAGGGGAGAAAGGCATAAATAGCCAGGAGATACGGTCAGGACAAACTCTTAAAGGGAATAGAAGCAATTCATAGAATTACAAATGTATAGACCGACCTCCATGGACTTTATACATGGATGGTTTGGAATTAGTTGTACATTAATTGTATGACTTTGGGCAACTTGCTTATCTTTCTCAGATTTAATATCTTCACTTATGAAATAAGCATGCTAATGCCCAGCTTGCAGTACTCATGTAAAGGTCAGCAATATTGCTGTAGTGTCCAGAGCAGGCATTCTGTCAGTGCTAATTCCTCATGAATTTTTTACATGCTGCTGGGAAATGAAGTCAGCGGAGCACCTAAGCTCACTCAGCTGCTGAATGTCAGGCTCTCAGGAGATTCCTTTTTCCACAGATGCTGGTTCTCAAGTCAGTACTATTTCTCTTGTACATGTGACCTTCAGCAATTTTTCTTACCCAAAATAAAAAGAACAGGACAACAGTAAAAGAATAAATAACAATAAAAAGCATGTAACACTACCAACATATTTAAATACAAACTATAAGTACAGGTTTGGTTCAGATGTTATAAAAATTTACTAGTTAATTTAAAATTCTGGTAGTTTTAAACAATATATCTAAAAAATTCTCACATTGCCTTGAGTAGATATTCTTTTCATATCTATGATTTCATAAGGAAGCCTATTTTTTGTGTGACATTAAAAATTCTGGTTCAGTTTACAACCTTTCTGAAAGTTAATTTTATCCAAAAACAAAGTCCAGAGTGAAATATATATTTTAATGTTATTTTAAACAATGCAATACAATAAATGAAGAGAAATAACTCAATGATTTTACATGCATATGAAGTTAAAAATAACTCATTCATTACTGATTGTGATTTGCCATCTATTGCTGGGCAGGAAGCTCATAACAGTTTGTTTTTGGAGAACTAACACGAAGTTTTCCTATTTGTTTTGCTTTGTTTCAGATAATGTAAACACTGAAAGATGTACTCTCCAGCTTTATCTTATTTTATAACTCAAAATTTATGATTCATTGAAGCTAACAAGAAGCAGACATGTCATATTCACGAGAGGGGATTTCCAGGATAAACTTCACTTAGCTGCATGCCCTCATGGTCCTATCTAAGACAACTCACCAAAGCAGCTCCAATCAATATTCTTCCTCTCAGTCCCACTGCCTTGCAAAGATGTTACAAGAACATCCCCTAGTGTGACAGCTAATTTTGATGCCAGCTTGAATGGATTAAGAGAGGCCTGCAGGATTAGTGGAGTGCCATGCTAGTGGTTCTGTGAATGACAGAGGAGGGAAGACCCGTTCTGGGTGGCACCAATTAATATACTTGTAGCCCAAAAAAGGAAAGAAGAAGGAAATTCTCTCTTTTGCTTCTTCAGAGGAGCCTTTTGGACTTTCAGCTCGGCTCCTTCATCCTTCCAGTGCAGACCCATCAACCTTCCAAGGAGGACCTTTCAGCTTTCCATGTGGCCTCTGCAGGAAGCTCCAAGCCCTTGACTTTTGCCTGGCTCCTCTACCTCTGCAACACGTTCTGCATTTTTCCATCCTGATTCCTCAGGCAGCCATATATATATTCCATATATTTATCCCATATATATGCCACATTATTTAAGGATTATCCTTATATATATTTCTGTTTCTCTAGTAAACTCAACTGATATCCCAATGTCCTTTTTAGCTTCACTTTCTTCATGGCTTCACTAAAAAAATATGCAAACTTAGCTGTTATTTTTCTGTAATCCATCTGCAGTCCTCAGTTCCTTTCCATTCCATACAGCCAAACAGAGTAAGTCATATTTCATACAGATAAGTGCTCCATCAAAAAAAAAAAATACACAAGTGAATGGTGAAGACTAGAATACCACAAAAGAGAGCTTGCCTTGGGAAGCTCCTTAAATAAAGTCACATGAAATTACTGTAACATATTATGTCATTTGCTTAGGTTTCTATTATTCATTAAAAGCAACCGCTATCAAAGAGTTTCAAAAATGGTGGCTTGCTAGGGGGTTGGGTGGAGAGTCTCTGTGGAGAAATCATATTAGATGCTAGAATATGACAACATGGAGA